CTGTCCCTCGTGAGCCGCGGCCCTTCCTGTCGCTCTCTCTCTCTGTCCCTCGTGAGCCGCGGCCCTTCCTGTCGCTCTCTCTCTCTGTCCCTCGTGAGCCGCGGCCCTTCCTGTCGCTCTCTCTCTGTCCCTCGTGAGCCGTGTTAACTTCTCCTCGTGGGGTTTGTCCACACAGGGATTCTTCCGGCGTAGTCAGCAGAACAATGCCATGTACTCCTGCTCCCGGCAGAGGAACTGTCTGATCGACCGCACCAACCGCAACCGATGCCAGCACTGCCGTCTGCAGAAGTGCCTGGCACTGGGGATGAGTCGCGATGGTAAGGAGACAGACCGCGGTCGTCACCGGGCCGCTCAGTGTGGCCCGTAGACAATACAGCGCGGCTAAACGTGGACCGACAGTATGTCTCACATGATCATCATCGTCACGAAATCTTCTCTCTTTGCCGTCTTTGTGCCATAGCCGTCAAGTTTGGCCGCATGTCCAAAAAGCAGCGAGACAGCCTCTACGCCGAGGTCCAGAAGCACCAGCAGACGCAGGAGCGTGGTGGCGGGATCCGGGACGACGGGGGCGAGAACGCCGTCCACAGTAGAGCCTACAGCAGGAGCTCCGGCTCGGCCCTCAGCGACCTCGACGACATCACCACGCTGCCTGACGGACTGCTCTTCGACCTGCCCCTAACACCAGAGGGCGCCAGCGAGTACTGTGCCCTGGAGCTCCTGGGAGGGAGCGCCGGGAGCAGTTCGTCCACGCAGAGCTCGCCGGAGCAGAGCAGCCTGGACTTCGCAGACGGCAGCCTGGTCGACCACGAGTATCAGCTTCTCCACGAACCCAGCCTCTTCGCACACTCCCTCCTCAACGGCTCCCCCGCCAGCTGCTCCCTGCTCGAGATCGGTGGGTCATCCCCTTCAGCTAGGGCTGCCTTTGTGATGCTGTGCAAATCCATGTCTCGTGGGTTTCTGGAAGGAGTTTTTCCTTTTTTTTAGAGCGCATTACCCAGAGCGTGGTGAAGTCCCACCTGGAGACGTGTCAGTACAGCACAGAGGAGCTGAAGAGTCTCATGTGGAACCAGTACACACCTGAGGAGATCCGTATCTACCAGAGCAAGGTGATGTACTACAACACTACAGTGCTGAGTCAGTTCTTCATATCGTCGCTAAACGATTAAAAACCATGTTCATTTCTTGATCATTGTGACTTTTTACTATAGATAGGAATACGCCCATTCTTCTCCATGTACTGATAGTGTCTGACATCAAATTGGCCAATGAAAAGATGTCTTATGAAGTCATCTATAGTACCATTTATGTTCGTACTGGTTACCATTTATATTCATGATGGTAATTTGCATGGATTACTTTATATAACTAATTTTAACAACATTGATAGCTAGATTAGCTAACATCACTTTTTTATTGTGAATATAAAGTGAGGTTAGTTTATGCCTAGTTGACGTTGACATAGCCATTGCTGGCAACAGTCCATGTGAGTCCATTTAAAACATTAAACTGTTCACTGTTAAGGGTGCTAACGGTGCCTCATGACGTCGTTTTAGGTCTCTTTTGTAAAGTAGTTTTTTCATGCTTCTGGCATAATGTATTTTTGGAGATGCATGTTTTTTATTGGACAGTGATGATGTATGTATACTATACATATAGTACAAGTGGTGTTTTCTGGGACTGTATTGATCATAGCATTGTTTAGAATCATCTGTCCGTAGTGACTCTCAGTAGTGAGTAACCTCCTCTGCCGTATGATGTTGGGTTAGATTTCCTCTCACACTGGGTCGCTCTGTTTCTTTCACCCACTGCTGATCCTTCAGGGTACACCCCCGGCATGTTAACGAAGTGCGGTTACAAACGCCAGCGTCTCACGCTCATAGGATTAACGGATGTGGCCCCCGGCTCTTGTTTTCCAGTCTGCGGAGGTCATGTGGCAGCAATGTGCTCACCAGATCACCAACGCCATCCAATACGTGGTGGAGTTCGCCAAGCGCATTGCCGGCTTCCTGGACCTGTGTCAGAATGACCAGATAATCCTTCTCAAAGCAGGTCACTATAAGTACCCCTTATAAGCATGTGAGCCAAAACAAAAATATTCCCGAGCTCTATGTTCAAAATGTTTGGAGTCGTTCCATGTTAATTACAGACTCCCTACTGCTTTGTTATTGGCTCGTGGGAGTTTTACTTGCACAAATATGTTCTGAGCACAGTACAAAAAATGATTGGTTCAGTGAGATAACCAATCAGATTGTATAGGAGACATCTGATTGGTTGGTCCAGCCTCCTCTAGTTGCTTAGACCCGCCTCCTCTACAATCCGATTGGTTACCTCTCTGAACCAATCATTTTCGTCCGGCCTCAGAACATGTTTGTGTAAGTAAACCTCCTATGTATGGAAGATTATAAGCACAAAAATTCAAATGGCAATTCATTTTGCAATTGGCAATTCAATATTCAATCAGAGCATGCATTTGTCATTTCAATATTTAATCTGAACGTGTAATTTTAAAATACATTTTGCAATCGGCAATTGAATGTGCAAAGTGCTTATGCAATCCTTAATTAATTTCAAAATATTTTGAATAATAAATAGAATAACAAGGCACTGAATTGCATTGCGTATTGCCATGGGTTTTTTGCCACTTTATTCAAATGCAATGGCGTCCCCGGCAATTGCATTGCATGTTGGGGAAGAAAACTCAATTTGCAATTCCCAACTGTCAGTTAGCAGTTGTCAGTTAGTTTATTTTCAACCGAT